TATAGTTTGCATAACAATGGTCTTTTGTTAAAGTGTTCTTTAGGTGGTATAAAGACGTATGCACGTGACTAATTTCTTACTCAAGATTGGATAATTGCCTCATGAATTATTAATGATTTTTGAATGCATTTTAAAATCACTTTCTTTTTGCAACGATACACATATTATACAACGTTAACACGAACGGGCATCTAATTTGTGTTCCGTTTTTAGGAATATAACAGCTTTCATCTAACTTTTGGATATGACAGTGGAAGTTTTCTAGGCTTCAAAGCAAATGTATCGACAAGAGAATGCAACTTAATATCTTCGGCTAGTAGACGGCTACATCTCTTTCGCTACTAACATGGTTGCCCTCGTGTAATGAATTGTTGATAATTTTAACTTTGCTGAGGCATCTTTCGCACGAAGCTATTGCAATCGGAATTATTGCTGCAATGTACAAATGATTCGGTGAAGGTTTAGGTAAAGGCCAGCGTAATCACTTTCACCAAACTTCTTTAATATTAGTGGACGGTAATGGCTTTTTCACCCCTCTTTGCGTTCTTAGAAGGTAATGGTTCTTTCACCCCAGTCTGAAGTTGCACTTGTTGCGGCTTGAAATGCAGTCGTTGTATCAAGACGTGAAAATCTGTGATTTCGCGTTGTAAACAGAGCGATGATTCATATATTGTAATTACTCAATTCTTTTCAATAATTTATTGTGTTGGTAGCCGTTGCCTTCGAGTTGCCGTCGTAAGTAGTAAAGTCTATATTATTATCACTTCAACGCGCTGGATTGAATGCAGATAATTGTTTACCAATACTGAAAATCGCCTCTTCAGCTCCCTCAGCAGCAGATCAAGCAGACAATAGTAAAAACCAGTACGAAATTCACTTTCTGCTGACACTGTTGAGTGTTGTGCTGTTTTGAGTTGAGGAGGCAACGTGGTGATTGAATGATACATCAAGCAATGTTTCATCAACGGTCCATCAGCTAGACAATTTGGAAGCGTTCTACGGTGCTTAATGTTACTGGGATCTCTAATCTTCAACGTGAAATTCGACTGCCTTGGGTTCAGCAGTACGCATAAACTCGGCAAATTATTCCTCATTCCGGGAGAAGAAAATCTAGCGATTAGCGAAGTTACCGCATCTACAGCGGTCACTAAATCCATATCTTCGATCTCTTTGAAGATATTCTGAAGCGTTGCATCAACCTAAACTGTACATAACATACTGGATAACCTGCGAACGCAAATACGCAATTATTTCAATTTAATGACGACAATTGATTTCTTTAAAAATATTTGCAACTTGCACCCCACCCCCCAGTTTCTTCTCACTTTTGGAAGAATTACAATATTGATCTTTAAAAAACGTCGGGGGTCCAGACCCCCATTCCCTCCCCCCCCTCCATGGCTACGCGGCTGTACCTATACAAATATCCGGCAAACAATCATTGATTAATTTTAGGTGCTCTCGTGCAAATATAGACATGTATAATCTAACACCACCTCACACAATCATATTTTATCATGATTAAATTAATAAATAACATACCTGTTTGCCTTCGCCGCCGTTCCACTGAACACATACAACGTGGTATACCTCGTCGCAAAGAAAATTTCTTCCCTGGGTTACTGCTACCTGGCCTACTTGTAGCTTTCCTATCTTTGTAAATTCAGCTTGCAGTGTTGGACCCGTTTCGTTATTTAGAGCTTTGCTACACAGGTTGAAATCTAGCTGACGGGCTTCTTCTGTTGGGTTGATGAGGACTTCGGCCTATGCAGTAAAAGATTTACATACTTTAAGGCCTAATTCCACGAATAGCGAAATGCGAGAAATTTCGCGCGAAAACACACTTGTGCGAAAATTTTCTTTCGTAGTGATTTCCACATTAGAGAAAAAAATTCGCCAAAACACAAGCATTTGATTGGTTTTGCTACTTTGTCATCCAAAACACAAGCATTTGATTGGCTGCGCTATTTCCATGTCGCAACGGAGTAGAAATGAATCTAACTACCTGGCAAAGAGAAATATTTCGCAGAGAAACATTCCAAAATTATGTTGCGCATGTGTTCAACCTTTTTGCGCAAAATTTTTCGCATTTCGCTCATCGTAGAATTAGGCCTTTATTTATGTTTTTTATGTTTTTATATCCTGGATGGCCAGTGTTAGACCACAGGCAGCCCAATCTTCCAAGTGTCAGTATAGTAATATATATTATAGTAAAAATATGTCATAAAATATAAATTATAAAATGAAATTCACTTGCCTATGTGTTCTCTATTTATTCCTCTTTTGTTGGTACTAATATACATACTGCATGATAAAGGCAAACTATTTACAATCGTTGATTCGTCTGCACGGCACTTCGAATCGAAAATTCTGCCACTCAAATCGCTTTATTCGCCAGGATGTAAAACAGATGCCGCTCTTCAAAAATACCGAAATACTTCCACGAGATGTACAAGTTTTGGACCATATTTTAACAATGGAAATCAAAACTCATTTTATATTGAACTTACAAAGACCTACGAATACTATCGAAAATGCCTGGGCAACCAAGCCTCCTAAAACCGTTGGGATTTACATGGGGGAGAGGAGGACGCCGCCTGCCCACAGCATGCAAATCCAAAAAGCGGGAAGGAAGTACATAGGAAAACAACATATTGTCGTGCATATATCACGTATGTTATAATAAGAAATGTATTTAAAACAATTTATGATGTCTAGATATCATATTTTAAATTATCCTTTTATATAACGATCATATTTCGAATTAATGTGACCCCCCCCCCCCCCCCCCCC